GATTCCATTATGGACAGGAGGGGCTCATAAGGTTCCATAGCTATAAGTAGTCGATGGTGCTGGGGGAAGAGAGGAGTCATATTCCTCAGTGGCATAGTCACCATTAAGTTATCCCTTCCCTTTTCAAGTAAATAACCACAACCCATGATCATACAAACCCCTCTACTAAATAACAACAGGTCAAAGAAAAGAGTATGGAAGTAGAAAGGAATATGTTGAGAAGGGGTTTGGTGGGAGGTGGAGGGGATTAAGGCTAACGGGGGTGGGGGGTGGGGCGTATTTTCAAAGAACATTATGCTTGTGTAGAACTATGAAAGAATATTTTTAAAAACCAACACAAAGACACATCCAATCACCAGGCACTTGTCCTATGAGTGGATTCAGCTACGACTGAGCAGAACTGACTGAGCTACAGCAGACGGCTCACACTGCAGGGCTGAGGGAAGACGGACGGCAGATCACAAACCACTCTAACCGTCTAGCCACCTGGCCAAACTAGAGGCAATGCCTAAATCCAACCGGCTTGACAAAATTCTGTTTTTCACATATCAAATTACTGAAGTGAATTAAGAACCATGTTTAGCGACATATATCTAGAATCACAACTAAAGGCATCACCGTTACAACATCACAGAAAATAACCAAAACTGACCAGAGACAAGCAATAATGAAAACAATGAAAAATACTAGTTTCTTTACTACAGCTAAATCAGGCAAGGCTGCCTTATTAAAAGGTCACCAACAACTATTGGATAGAGATTTAGAAAAATAACCCCGAGATAGGGAGGACCCAAATAAATAATCAAAGTCATCAGGCATATAGGCTTACACCTGTAATCTCAGCACTTGACAGGCTGAGTCGGAAGGATCACCGAGTTCAAGGCCAGCCTGATCTATATAGAATATTTGAGGCCAGTTTGAGAAAATCTGATCTATATAGTGAGACCCTGTCTCAGTAAGTTTTTTTTCTTTCCAAAATCAAAGCTAATAATATTAAGAAACAAGAACCCCTGAACAGAAGTGGGTGCATTGTTCACATCTGCTCTGTCCAGGAATTTCTAGCATACCGTCTCTCAAAGCCTGAGTGAAAGCTCTAGCCTGACACCAGCAGGCTATCGGAAAGGAGGAGATGGGTGCTGTAGCCCTAAGGGCACCTTACCTGAGAAAGACTTTTCAGTCTAAAATTAGAGCCCTTGAATACAAGGTACTGTGGATCTTTCATGAAGTCCTTGGCTATAGCACAATGCTCTACCCTATCTGTAAATCATCCTTAATAATCATGTAAGTGTATTAAGTAGATAAGAGGGTCTTTAACAGGTCTTTCCCCAAACCAAATTTCAGTTAAGTGATACACATTTACTGCTAGGCTTTCAGGTCTGGCCATGCTCTGAACAGCCCCAGACGTGCTAGTCGAGGAGCTTGGGGTACTCTTCTGGGTCTTGAAGATTATCTCTATTATCCCCTCCAGGCTGTTATCTGTTTTCTCTTAACAAAGACAGTAAGTTAGAAGTGCCCCCCCATCCTCCTATCTACCCCCACCACACCCTGTTAAGCCTCCCACACTACCCATAATCTACTAGTTTCAGTCTGTGGACTTAGATGACAGATAACTTTGTTAAAGACATTTTAATGAATACCAACAGGTTCTAACTAAGGACCTAAAAGGATCCCCCTGTGCATTAAGGTACAGACTTGGACAATTAGGCTGAAGGCCTTGTTGGTCAGTGTCTGTTTCTCATCCCAATTTATAGGAAGGAGGTCAGGGATAACAGTACTAGCAAATCATCTGCATTAAGAAGAGCCCAGATAACTAACTAAAGGACAAGAATGTTAAATTGAGAGAATCCTGTCTCAAAGAATGTTCTCTCTCAGTTCTCTAACTAATTTTATAACAATCACAAGAGGCAAAAGCAACTCCTTCCACTTTAATAAGGAAACCAAGACTTGGGAGTTTAATTTACCCAATACTACAGGAGAGAAACCAAATACCAGCCCAGGGCTTTGAGTCCAAACTCCAAGGCCATTCCACTACATGACAATGCTGTCCAATCAGTGTTCTTGGCTTAACCATTTGCATACAATATTCCTTTCACTGGAACCCAAATGACTCAAGTTCCTTTTCTTTCCTTAACTACTTTCTTTAACTACAGGGCAATGGTTAATCAAACTGAGACCAAATTAAGCTTAGCAACCATACATCTGCTCAACAAGCATGTTTCTGAAAGATCAGCCATATCTTCGGTTTGAATGAATTGCAAAAAGTGGCAGACACTACCCCCACCCCAAAAAGGATATTGTTCTTAGGGACACAGGCGCTAATACATCCCATCTACCCTAGTGTCATCCTTTACACTTGACAGAAAGCAACCCAAGTATACTTCAAGAGCCTCCTGTGAATGAATTTATCAAATGCTCAGGCTCCTCAACTCATACTCTAACATAATTAATTTTCTTACTTGGGGGCCTTGGCCATGAGACACGAGTTCTTTCTTTCCTAATTCCACTAAGGAATACTGGTGTGACTAGCCACAGAGAAAGTTTGTAAGAGAGCAAATGTTACTTGTCCAATAGAGTGACAGACACTGAATTCTTTATGGTCAATTTCTGACACACCTTTGCAATACTTAGTGGAAAACATCTTTGCACTCACAGAAACCAAGGGCCTAAAAATGTCTCTTGCGCTTCTGCTCAGACAAAGCATCTAAAACGATATGCCTCTCTCCACCCCCTAAAAAGGATTCTTGTCCCAAGAATATGAATAAACTTCCATCTGCCAGACTGCACTATATACAGCTCCTACATGACTACAAAAGCACCTGTATAAAAAAGAAAAAAAAAAGTTGCTGCAAACATGGCTTCTGAAGTCCAGAGCATTAAATCAATAGAATCAAAACCCAGCAAGAAGGAAAACAGGCCCCAAAGTCAAATCTGATAAGTTCTGACAGAATATAAAAACACAAAAGGTCCTTAACCACCAGTTCATGAAGCTAAACTGAGTTAGCCTTTTTGTTCACTCACAGCCTCCCTAATGAGCAGTCCTGAGATTACAGCTACAGTTTGTTATCTACAGCATCAAAATGAGAAGGGACCATTGCTCTCCTCATTTAGTATCTATGGCATTGAAATGAGAAGGGACTGCTTGCTCTCCTCATTTAGTATCTACAGCCATCAAGATGAGAAGGGACCATTGCTCTCCTCATTCAGTATCTATAGTATAAAATGAGAAGGGACCACTTGCTCTCCTCATTTAGTATCTATAGTATAAAATGAGAAGGGACCATTGCGCTCATTTAGCACCTCTGTTCACCTGAAGGAAAGGGCTGTGTACAAAAGCAGCCCCAATATTCTTACCGAGAGTTCAAACACATAACCAAGCCTAACACGCAGGCCACAAACAGGAAATTACTCTGCAGTTTCTCCCAAGACTGTTACTTTATCAACCATACAGATTGCATAGCTGTTTATAGTGACTAGTACCTTGGAACCCTGAAAAACCAAACTTTGCTGAACACCTACAACATGGAGTCATTTGAAATGTAGCTACAAAATAGGAAACACCAAGCTTTAAGAGCAGGGTCTTGCTAAGGAACACAAGTGATGTTTGTAATCACAGGGCAGTAATTAAGCTCGGCCAGTGAGCAGCCTTAAACTCAACTAAGTCAACTGGATTTTAACATTAAGCATGTAAGCGGACACTCAATTTAGAAATGTCCATAGACTGGAAGAATTTTTCTTACCGCCACAGGTAAGTTTATGCAAAAACAAAGAAAATTTAAAAAATAACAGCAATGTTACTTTATGAATTTCACATAAACATTTGCCAAATGACCAAAATTCTTTATGCAATTGTTTCATAGTTAAATGGAAGGAAAAAAAAAAGGGCTTAAACTATAATACTTCTCCCATGTCTAGATTCCATCTGCTTCACTAACTCATGAATTGAAACTATTCCAACTTCGTTTTAACTACTTAACACTTCTCTGTAAAGGGGAAAATTGCTTTTTACAGGGATCAAAGTAAACTAATAGGAAAGGTATTTCCAGCATGGCAGCAAATGTATTCTTGTATTAGGCTCAAGAGAAACATCCTCTGTATCAGTGCTACAATCAGAAAAAAACTAAAAGGGACTTTGGAAACTGACATATCAGGCAGGGTACCATTTTCAAAAAGATGATCTTCAGGTAAATTTGCCCCGATGATTCGTTTATTTACATATGTCGTTTCATTAGTTTTAAACATTACCATTTAGAATACTCCAAGAAAGCCTAACAACAAGGCGAACTGCTACTGCTGAAATATTTTCACCTTGGCATGTTTTTTTTTTTAAATTGGTCTGACAACAAACAGGTAGTATTTGCCTTTAAGGGCGAAAGGAAAGAATAACAAAATCAACCACGATTTCTGTTTTTCTTTTGTTTAGGTGCACAAGGAAACCATAACACGCAAGGGTGTGAAGACAAAAGTACCTGGCCCAAGGACAGTATCCCTAAAACAAAATAATCCAAGCACCGATTGTGAAAACCAAGTCTGAAATATGTACAATCAATTAGCATGCTTCCGAAAGGCGTGTGATTAGAAACTAATAGGCTGCACCCACGGAGCAACTTTCCCCAAGTGCGTGGAGGATGAGCCCGGGAGCCTCAGCCACGAGCGTGTTTGTGAGTACACACATCGATTCGGAACCCGCGACTGTTATGGTTAACAAAGGCTACAGGAGAGAGAAAGAGGAAAAAAAAAAACAAAAAAGGAAAAAGTGGAAGCAAAGTACCACACGCCCATAAGTCGGCTCCCGGGCCCTTCTGCAACGCAAACCGCGAGTGTGGCCGCGCGCCGGGACTGAAGCGGGCCGCAGCCAGGCTGGGCGGGGCGGGGGCTCACGGCCCTGCCCACGGCGCCGACGACCCCGGCCCGCGCGCCACGGCCCGCCACACCCCACCCGGGCGGCCACGTGACCCGGCCCCGCACACCCCTGCCCGGTTCTCCCGGTGCCCCGGCTTTACCTGCACCCAGCGCCAGGTCCCGCCCCGTCCGAGCCGAGCCTCGGACCTTTTGTTCCTTCCTCTTCCGACGGGCTCCGCGCTGCCGGAGGAGTGGGCGCGCGCAGGCGGAACTGCGCCGCGGGCCCCCGCCCCGCCCCCCAGGCCCGCGCTCGCCGCGGCCGGCGGACGGGTGGGGAGGGAGGGAGGGAGGGAGGGCGCCGCCAGCTCTACTCGGCGCGTCCCCGCGCCCCGGCCTTGCCTGCGCCCCGCGCCGCCGCCGCCCTCCGCCCCGGCCGCGGCCGCCGCGCACCTACCTTCGGGCGGCTAGCACAGCGCTCGCGAGCTGCAGGCTGGCGACCTGCTCCTCCTCCTCCGCCGCCGCCGCCGCCGCCGCCACCGCCGCCGCGCGCGGTAGCCCCGCCTCCCTCCCCGAGCCGCGGGCCCCGCCGATTCGCCGGCGCAGCCCCGGGCTGGCACCCTGCCGCCCGCTGATTGGCGCCCGCGGCTGCCCGTTAGGCGTGAGGCACGCCGGCGGAGCAGGACGCGCACGGAAGACGGAGGGAACACGGCAGGGACGGAAGGAGGCCGGGCGCCGCGGGCAGGGCCGGGGGCCGAGCGGGGCGCGGGCAGGCGCGGGCCGCCGCCTCCCGCCTCCGGCCCGACCGGCGGCACACGCAGCCAATCAGCGAACGGGGAGCCCGGGGTGTGAGCAGCGTGTCGGGGGGCCTGGAATCGGAAGGGAGACGTCGCTCGCTGATTGGTCCCGCCTTCCCCGTCGAGCGTGAGGCGAGGCGCGGCCGGGTGGGGTGGCACGCCCGCGGTTGCGCTTGAGTTCGTGTCCGGCGCGCTCCCACGGAGCTCGTGGAGCAGCGCGGAAGGCCGCGCAGCCTGCCACGCCCGCAGACCCCCGCCCCGGCGCCGCTGGGTGGAGCGCCGCGGCTAAGCCCTCGCCCACCTCCGTCGGGAGGCCCGAGTGGACACGTGCTCGGGCCCGGGCCCGCCCCCAGCCCGGTCCGAGCCGCTGGGCCAGCCGAGCTCCGGAGTAACCGGAGTGCTGGCCGCAGAGGGGCACGCCCTATGCAAATGAGTGGGCGGAGCCTGGGGCTAGGGGCGAAAAACCGCGGAGTTAAAAAGAGTACTTGTCTGAGGTTGGGGTTAGGGTTAGGTGTTTTTCTCCAACCCGATCCTTGGGTCCTTCTGAAGTAGAAGTATTCATGATGCATGTTTCGAATGCTTACTGTAAAGTGTGAGCACCTGACTGTGTGCTCTGGAATTTGCTGTCCCTAGCTCATTTTCCCTTCACTGGGCCCCTGTTCCTAGGCCCCAACTTTTCACCTTTACCTAGGAAAGAAGCAAGTCCGCAAACTTAAGACTGCCCACGGCTGCATAACCAGGTTCATCAGTAATCTTGATTTTAACTCAACCCTGGCAGACGAAAGATGGAACCCCAAATAATCACCTCCAGTGTTTAGCACCTGTATTAGCCAGGGAGCATAATAAACCCAAATTTGAAGTGTCTCAGGTTGCTAATGGTAAAGACAATACCAGACAACAGATTCCCTGGCTGTTTGTCACACTCCCATATACCTACCTACCTCTTCAAAGGTTTCTTGGGAGATTTCAGTGAATCCAGCAAACATCGCTAGTAATCCAAAGCAGTCCAGGAGCTTGAAGCAGTTAAGAGTGAAATATGCCCTCTTCTCATATGTGAGAGCATTCCAGAGGAGGGGCCTTCATTTGGACCTTGAGTTAGTTGGTCATGCATTGAGACTTACAGGTTTTTTTAAATAGGCTTTCAAAAGCTCCACCATTATTCTTATGGGAAAGTTGTGAAGCATCCCAGATATAAGCCAGGCATTAACAAAGTGGTACTCACTTGCAATGATAACACCAATTTACATGGTTATATGCTGATGAAATCACAATTGTAAACATGAAGAGAACAAGACTTGGAAACTAAAGGAAAACTAAGGACCATTAACTCCCTTTGTCTGTGAACTGATATTTATGCTAACATGGATTTAGCAGACATTCACCTTCACAGAGGGTTTTGGGTGTTTCTTCTGTTAAGTTTTAGAGGAAGGCCACATAACCCTCATTTTAACAGTTTGTGGGCAGAGGATGTACTTCACTGGTAGAGCACTTGTCTGGCCCATAGTAAGTCCTGATTTTAACCCCCAGCACCACCAAAATAAAAGTTAAGTTTGGAAGGTACCACTTAGGGAGATCTCTTGTCTCAACCTTCCAAAGCCACCTGGGTGTGTGGTTAAGGCAAATGATGCTCAGGTTGGAAGCAGGAAAACGGGTTCTGACTTGCAACCCTTCTTTATACTGATAGAAATCAACAGCTTTAATATAGATGGCCTGTTAAAAGTGGTCTTGGATCACAAAATGTGATTGTGTGATTCCTATGTGGATTTGGGTGTCACACGGGTAGTTGTCAAGGGGAAAGCAGGGCTTCATAGATTCTAAAATATGCTTCTTGAGTTGGAGTTAAACCATTTCTCCAAAGTGTCAGACTTTGAAATCATAACTCCTCCACTTCGAAAGACTTCCAAGATCTAGAGCAGTGGTTCTCAACAGTATCATATCCTGCATATCAGATATCTACATTACGATTCATAACAGTAGCCAAATTACAATTATGAAGTAGCAATGAGATACTTTTATGGTTGGGGGTCACCACACCTGAGGAACTGTATTACAGGTCTCAGCATTAGGAAGGTTGAGAACCACTGCCCTAGAGGATCTAGAGGACTGAAGGAAAGAATAGGGCCAGCCTGGCTACTAATACAGTCTCCAAGGGAATTGAAATGGGAGCATGCCTGCTATCCCCTCGGTTAGAGATGTATCTAAACCAAAGTGGGTCAAGAGAAGCTGAAGGCACGTGGAGCAAGGATTACCATGGCAACAATCAGCTTGGCAATCCACTAGGGTACCTGAAGATCTATAAGTAGGTCCCTATTGTATAAGTTATATTGAATGAGTCTGTTTTTTTTTTATATGAATGGACAGCAAGATTAACCCTTCATTACTCATGCCAGTATAAAATCAATTGAACCTAAATCAACTCAAAGTGCATTTAAAAGACATAAGAAAAATTATAGCTATTTCTGGAAAAGGCCTGAGAGTCATGAGTAAAAAAATTTTAATTTCATTGTCAATTCTTCTATAGTTTGGTTGAAAAATTAATAATCTATGCATTAGTTTTTCCAAAGATCCAACTCATGTTCATCTCCTGTCTATAAATCTCTAAATCCCTTCTGGTCTACTCAGCTCAAAGTTGTATTACTTGTGTACTTTCTTTGTTACTCCATACAGATTCACACACACACCATGACTTTACCTGAATTAATATTTTGTTCGATGATTTATTCATACAGTAATAAGAGTTTCTTAACTTCGCATTTGTGCTTACTTTGTCTCCACATCCAGATGGTAAACTTCTGAATGTCAAAACAGCTGCTTCCCAGTTGCCTCCTTACACCTTACCACCATGCCATTGAGTGATAAAAGGTAAGATACAGTGTTTCTACAGCAGGCTGGCTGGTGTATCACAGGCCTGCACTGTGCAGTTGGTGCCATCCTTCTTTGTAGTTCTCTGCATAACTGTTGGATATCTTCTCAAGATTGATGTGTGCTGCTTCTGGTGAGACTGAGTAGAGATGAACATTATCACATAAGAAAAGATAGTTTTTTGAAACTGAAACAATATGGACTGAATGAGATACCCCGAGCAAAAGTTATAAATAACAACTGTATGTGGTTTGAAAATTTGTGAGGATATTCAATCTCAGCCAGATTTGTATATCAATACAATGAATCTTAATGCTTTAAGTGAATTTGTATTGACAATGTTTACAAATACCTACACACACACCAGAGAGAGAAGGGAGAGAATGCTGAAGGCCTTTATTTATATGCTAGGTTTTGCTAGAAAGTATTTAGTATCTAATGGGAAATGCCAGAGACAGCCACAGGAATATAAAAGGAAAATATTAAATTCAACAGGTATTCATCAGGCATTTGTTATGCACCTACTGTAAAAGTATTGGCTGATCATGGAATATTCTCATTCTTTGGCCAAACTCCCTCTCTAAAAAAAAGAGAGAGAGAGAGATAACAGTAGTTTTTGAGAATTAGAAATTGTAAGACAAAAGAGAAAGCTGGTGCCTCCCTAGAGCCTTCACCCTACTAGTTCTTGATGCTAGAAGGTACTCTGTATGTTACCAAAGGAGAACTGGAAACACCAATACAGCTATGAACGCTTTGATCTACAGTGCTGTCCTGCCTGCAAGATGTGCTAGTGTAACGGTGGCACAAAGCTGGTGGGAGTGCCCAACCACTATCTGGTCTGACTTAAGGCCCACTCCACCAGATGGAACCCGTACCCAACACTACCTGGGTGACCAAGAACCTGGGACTAGGTAGCCCAGGGACCTGGAGGAAAACCAAGTACCACTGTCCTACTAGAGAAATGCAGTGACAAAATGAACCCTGATGACATCTGCTCTGCTCGCAGACCAGTGTCCTGTTCAGCCATCATCAGAGAAGCTTCTCCTGCAGCAGATGAGAACAAATACAGAGACCCACAGCCAGATATTATGCAGAGAATGAAAGACCTTGGAACATTCAGCCCTAAACAGGATGTCTCCATCAAATCCTTCCCCTCAGGGTTCAGGGAACCCTGAGAAAGAGGAGGCCGAAAGAGAGCAAGAGGGGATGGAGGAGACAAGGCCTTCTAAGTTCAACAGGACCGACACACATCTGAACTCACAGAGACTGAGGCAGCATGCACAGGGCCTGCTTGGGTCTGCACCAGATGGGACAATGGAGCTGAAAGGAGAAGTGGACACATGTCCCCATCCCTAACCCAAACGCTTCTCCAGTTGATAACCACTTACAAATGAAAATTTAGTTTTCTCCAAGGAAGTCTCACTGGGAAAACAAAGTACTCTTACAGGTGGGCAGCATGCCCGGCAGGAGATGCCAACAGAAAATGAACTCAGTGGCATCTTTGGAGGTTCCCTGTCTCATGTCTGTCATGGCAGGGATTTATTTATTTATTTATTTTTAATAATTTTATTTTCGTCTCTCTTTTTTATCCTTCAGGTCCTTTGTGTATACTCTGGCTTCCAGTTTAGTGTTTTTACAGGGTCCCTGAGTGTGTAAACACGTGGGTCTCTGTCTGCATCTGATTTGTGTCTTTCCTCGGGCTGTCTCCCTTCTGCTGGCTTCTCTGGTCCTATTATGATTTGTTTGTTTTGTTTTATTTTATTATTATCCTGTAGAAGCCTGTTTGTTTTCTAACAAGAGACAGAAAGAGGGTGGATCTAGATGGGGGGGGGTTGGGAGGAGAAGAGGAGGGGAGACCATAATCAGGATATGTTATATGAGAAAAGAAATCCTGGAAAAAAGTGAGACATAGAAATAAGGTTTTTGCAAATGAGAAATTGTAAGACAAATTTACTTTGGTTGATAGAAAAATAGTATGGTAAAACAAGTTCTATTTCTCATTCTCTGGGCATCTATTACATTATTTCATTTACATATTATTTAAACCCACAAATGATTATTAGATTAATTGGTCATTAGATAACTCATAAATGATTGTTGAAATGTTACTTGGAAAATTGCAGTACAGTTCCAGTACATTGAACATTATCAGAGCTCTACATGTTTGGAAAAAGCTAAACAAAAGCCAACATCTAAACTCCGAGAACAATATTCAAATTGTTTAAAGTTCTTTGTGAAGGAGAATAATATGCTAGTCAGATGTCAACAATAGGGCCTTATGCCTCGATTATAATAGTCTGTGTGACCATATTGGCTGAGCCAGGCTGCTGTTAGGCAGGGTTAAGTGTATGAAGGTATAATACTCTTGAGGAGTCAGTCATGGTAGTGTAATTGCTCTCATGAAGAACTTACTAACTTGCTTGGCTGTAATTGACAATAGATATGTAATCAGTGTCCTGATGACTGAATTAATGAGCTGCAATTGTTTGTCCTTATTGTAAATAGTCCTTAGCTATGAAAAAGACATTTTGCTGGAGGATCTGGTGATTGTATTTAGCCGATGAGGGGCCAAAATGTAATTAATGATAGAAAAGAAACAATTATTGTTGGATCCTAAAGACTGCAGTGATGGGTTTCAGGCTACAAAGAGACTCCATGTCAGCTCTTTCTTGTCTCCATGTAACCATGGAGCCTGATTTAATGTTCTTACTCTGCCAGCAAGGAAACTGAGACCTGGGCTTCCCCAGAGTTCTAGGAACACAGTGCTATGATCACACACATAGTTTTCTTCATTTTGCTCTCTGGTTTTGTCCACCAACTCTGAACTGTCCCCCACCCCCATGCTGCCACACAACTGTCCTGAATTTCACCTTCTCCAGTCTTCCAGTTCCCGTACATTCTATGCATATGCTCTCCCGTGCTAATTCTCAGTGAAAATAGAAGCCAATTTCCTACCCTCACCCAAACCCCTAGTGACAGACAAATATATTTGATTTCCATATATATTCTAGATACTTCTGCAGAAGTGTGTCTTCTCTTTCTAGAGGCTTTTTCCATCTGCTCCCACTGTGTTTCAACTACCCAGCCTATGTCAACACACTCACACCAAAGTCACACTCCAATCATGTTATGTCTTTGTTTTGTTTTTCTCATCACTATCTGGAATCATCATGTCCATTTAGGGACTGATCTATCTTTTGTCACCCTCCCATTGATGTAAACTCCCATTGATGTAAAGTCATATCTCCTGTCACCACAGTGTCCTTAAGCATGGGTATCTGATTCACTTATAGCATCCTTAATTCTTGTATACATAGTGACCCTCAAATATTTTTGAATGGATATGTAATTTTACTCAATTTCACTCAGACTCAGTATACCAAAACTAAACTGATAATTTTTCCCCTAACTTTGTATCTTAGCTCAGTTCCCTAGAAAACAGCCTGAGACATGGTATAAGTCCTGGTGTTTTATTTAGGAGTTATGAGTCCAGGACATCAGTAGTGAGATGAAGAGCCAAGAAAGACTGAAGAACAGTGCATTGTGATACAGTTTTGTACCAACAATGATCCAGGACGAGCCTTGAAGAAATAACAGCCTTCCTCTCTACAAGTGCCACAACCTGTCCAAACAGGCCATCTCCAAGTAATAATGATGGAGTAGTCATGCCTTGGGACATCTGAAGAAGGAAGAGACGCTATACCTAGTTGGCCAAAGTTCATCCCACAGTGAGTTAACTTTCCCTGAGATTCCAGCTGTGTTATCCATGTTTTTCAGTAGCAACTTAGAAAGCCAGGTCCCTTACCCTAGAATCTAGAAGTAGCAGAAAGAAGCCAGATGCATAAAGCTGGTTGGTCTCAGCAATTAAAGCATAAAGAACTTATCTAAGTCTTGTGTTGGTGATGGAATGGAGCAACATAATAGGTCTTAAAAGATCTGAGAATATATCAAACTGAAACTGATCACAATCATTGGTACTGCAGCAAAGATGGGCCAGCTTTGCTTTATCCTGGGCATTACAGCCAGCCCCTACCACAATAAGCACTGATTAATAAGTTTGTTAAATACATGAATGACATCACCACTTACTCCCTATACTTAGAATCCTTAGAGTCATCCGTGATCTGCCTCCTTTCTTAACTCCTTCATATCACAATAAAAGCAGAATTCATGTTGGCTCTACTATCATAGTATCTCCCAAATCTCTTTAGGCTCTCTGCTGTGGTTCCCACTGTCATCGTGGAGTGGAAATACCGCTGTAGCTCCTTCACTTCCTGACACGAATCTTACTCCAGTTCATTCTCACCCCAGCTGCCAGCCTTTTTAAAACATTAGTATATAGTCTAAATGCAAATCTGATGTTACGACCTTCTTTTCCAGGACAAAACTACAACTCCTTAGTGTAATCTGAAAGCTCTCTTACAGTGGGTGAGCAGACCCATTAGATTGGCCAACCATAGGCTGTGATTGGTGCTCTGCTCCACAGGAAGAGTTGGAAAAGTAAGCAGCTGACATTTAGGGGCTTCTGTCTCATAATTGGGAACCGCTTCTCTCCAGCAGTCATTATAAACTCTACAAACAAATGAAATACAGTTAAGTGCTAGGGAGCATGCAAGTGAGAAATATCTACTGTTTCAGCTTTTCATCCTTGTAGCAAAATGCCTCAGAAAGTCAACTAAGGAGGAAAAATTTATTTTGACTAAAGATTTCAGAGGTTTTAGTCCATGTCACCTGGCCCTGTAACACAGTATATCACCACATGGCCCCATTCTGAGTCTGTAGTGAGGCAGAGCATCATAGTGGGAGCATTTGAAGCAAATCTGTTCACCTCCTGGCAGCCAGAGAGCAAAAAGAAAAAGAGCAAGCTGGATAGAGAAGGGACAGGAACAAGGTCTCACCTTTATGAGTACACCCTCAGTGACCTCCCTCCTCCAGCTGGGCCCTGCCTCCTAGTCTCCATCATTTCAGTGACCTTCCTTCTCAAGCTGGGCTCTGCCTCCTAGTCTCCATCATCGCAGTGACCTCCTTCCTCCAACAGGCCCTTCCTCCTAATCTCCATCATCTCAGTGACCTCATTCCTCCAGCTGGGCCCCACCTCCTATTCTCCATCATCTCATTGGCCTCCTTCCTCCAGCAAGGCTACACCTCCTGAAGTTTCCATCATCCAAATATTCCATAATTTATGACCACGTCATTGCATTAATTCATTGAAGTAAGAGACACCATGATCAATCACTTCCCCTACAAAAGCCCCCTCTCCAAATATGACTGCTCCTGCATTTGAGGTTGGCAGGCCAGCCTCCCTTGTATCTTCGCTCTCTGCATCCTGATCTGCTGAGGTGTAACAAGCTATACCACAGGCTCCCACAACCATGGACACAACCCCAGCCATCGTGCGCTCTGTGCAGTGATGGACTATGTCTCCCAAACTGTGAGCCAAAACAAACCTCTCCTCCCTTAAACACATTGTGACTGGTCCTTGGTGAGTGCATTAGAGACTGTTGACTTGTACAGTGATGGAGTGGATGTGTGCAGACAGTAAAAAGCTGACATGGAAGCCACACAGTTCCAGGTTTCCCTCCTACTTGCCTTATTCCTGCAGATGGGTGAGGGCCCTTGCTCCTTGTCACACAGTTCTCTTTAGGAGTGTGTGTATCTTTTCCTCCCTCTGTCTTTCCCTCAAGAGTGAGAGCTTTGAGGTAGAGTCTGTGTCTTGGAACTTGGCTGGCCTCACAGACTTAGGTGCAGGGCCTGATGTACAGTGGCTGGAATGTGAAGAGAGAAGAGAACAGAACTGGAGCCTCATCCTGAGCCACAGCTCAGCCTCTGCCCACCATGTGCAATTACTATGATGCTGGAGATGAAGGCTCCCTGCTTGGGGCAGCTGGCCAAAGAGAAGTGGTATAAACCTACTGTGTGTCTGAAGTGTGTTCTCCACACGTTTACATTTTACAGTGGACTCTTGCTGTGCACTTGTGCTGTATCCTTTGACTCCTCGTTTTACTCACCTTTGCAGTTTCCTCCCAAGTTCATCAGGCAGCATCCATTTTGCTGACATCTTTAGCATCATCCTGGGGCTTTCTATTCTGTATGCATAAGGTTTCCAAGACCCAGGCTTTAGAGATGTAGTTTATCACTAAGGAGCACACATTAAAATGATTTTAAAGTATTCTCACACATATTCATGTTTATTGCAACAAAAATTCTCTACTCCTTTTGCTTTGTGTGGAGAGCTGAGGAAGCCCTGAATGAACCAAGGTGTGTATTGCTGACATGGGCACAACCATGCCAAGGACTCTACAACCTCAACCCCATGGGAAATAGCAAAGCCCCCCTGCCCCCAAGTATGGTTCAGAGGGATGGCAAAGCCTTCCTCTGATCTGTGTGCAGATGTGAATAGTGTGCAGAAAAAGTCTGCCATAGCTCTCTCCTGCCAGATGTTCTCAGCCTGGAGACCTCCTCTTCAGACCACTCCTACTGAGATGAGCCAAACCTGCTTCCTTGAAGCCCTGCCTTCATGTTTATCAATGCGTAATTGTAGCAAGAATCTTAAAGAGTCTCATTAATAAAATCAAACCTGAAGCCAGGTATTGGGGTGAATGCTGGAAGATCAGAGAAGTGGAGCAAGCCACAGCTTCCTCACCTCGCCAATTCCTCAGCTGATCCTTTTTCCTCAGACCGGAAGCCTCTGAGTCCTCATCCAAATGGATCTCAGCTGAACTGCTGCTAATAGCCTAAAAGCTTAACCAGCCAAAAGCTTCTAGTTTCTGGTCTTCACACCTTATATACCTTTCTGCTTTCTGCCATCACTTCCTAGAATTAAAGGCTCACTTCCTGGGATTAAAGGCATGAGTCACTATGCCTGGCTGTTTCCAGTGTGGCTTTAAACTCACAGAGATCTGGATGGATCTCTGCCTTGGAATGCTAGGATTAAAGGCATGTGTGCCACCATTTTCTGGCCTCTATATCTAGTGGCTGTTCTGTTCTCTGACTCCAGATAAGTTTATTAGGGTGCACAATATTTTGGGGAACACAATACCACCACACATAATAACCCTACCCTCATGTTCAGCTGTGTGCAATAATCCACCCTCTGTTTAACTGCATATAATAAACACCTCAGGTTACTGAGGTTTCTCCATCAGAAAGCACAGCCCACCTGATCCCAGCTTCTCTGTGCACATGTCTGTGTGTCTGTCTTTTCTCCATTTCCTCACCACCCCCAGTCAGGTTAACCCCTGGAGCCAGCCAAAGGATACAGCCGCTTTGGTTTGGTTTACTTTTATTAAACTTAAGCAGGGTCTTGCAGTGTAACTCAGGCTAGCCTTGAACTTGGGAACTTGGGGCTGTCCTCCTGAGGCATCAGCCTGCCATTTGCTGGGATTACAAATGGGCACCATGTGCCTAGCTTCTATAACTAACTAAAAAAAAAAAAAAAATACCCCAGCTTTATTGAGATTTATTTTTCCTACCATGAAACATAATCATTTAATATGTTTATCCTATGATTTTTAGTGTATCACAGAGGTAGCCCCACAATTTCATATCTTCATCAAACCCATTCTACAAACACTCAATCCTCAACTTTGGCCAACTATCTTTTTTTTATTTTTATGAAGTTATCTATTCTGAATGGTTAATATAAGTGGGGCCATGTGGGGTGGGGTGGGGTGGGGTGGGGTGGGGTGTGTATTTTCAAGGTCCATTCTTATGGTGTGTCCTTTTCACAACCAAATAATATTGGATTACACAAACACCAAATGGTACGGCATCATCATGACTTCCAGGGTTTCTCTACTTTATGTCTCTTATGGAAAAGGCTGCCCCGAGAATTCCTGTATGTTTCTCTACTGCCCCCACCACTAGGGATTAAATTCAAAGCCTGTGTGAGACTTCAGAGCTATGTTCCCAGTCTTCTACTACTTTTAAAATAGTGATTTTAATAGGAAATGCCCCTGCCCATCTGATTCTCTAAGTCTAATGCCCAGAACACTGCCAATTTTTTTGTACCAGACTAGGTATGGATATCACAGCTCACTGCTGTAGATATATATTACACACACACTTGCACACACACTCACACACACTGGTTCACGAAACTAGTGAAACATTGTCTAGTTAATGGCATTTTAATGACTTGGGCTAAAAGATGCCAAGGGGCCATGTTGCTCTCCCCAGCTTCTTTAGCAAATGTTTTTGAAAACCTGCTCTGTCTTGGCTGTGCACTCTGTTGAGAAGTCACTGAGCAGGACATGGTCCCTGTCCTCAAAGATGTGTCATTCTGTTAGAAGAGACAGTTCACCTGGTCTTGGTGGTCAGGGCAGGCAACTGCAGCTCAAAAAATACTCGAGTTAGCCAGGGAAAGAGCCAGAAAACACATAGACAGAGGTCCTGACATGAGGTGCAGGTCTGGATAGGAGTCGGGTGTAGAGAAAAGCAGCTGAACAAAGAGCCTCCCACATCCCCCCCATTAAGGGTTTGACTGCCAAGGTAAGGGAACACTCCTCTGCTTGATGGAGAAAATGGGAGTTTGAGCAGAATTGAATATTCACTGAGTGCTTGGGCCTCGGAGACAAACGCAGGGACAGGAATTCATGGCTTGCTCACCTCCCAGCTTTTCTCCCATAGGAGAATCAGTCTGTTTGTCCCTTTATCACAGCTTCCATCTGGTCCCAGCTTACTATGTTTTAATTGTATTATCAAACAAATACATGAATGAGAGTTCTCTGACCTCTGAGGCTACAGGATGTTACCTAGTGCTCAGTTCACTTTCAAGGATTAAATAGTAAAGCAGGTGAGATATGGACAAGCGGGGAGGAGACAATATTTTATATAGGACAGCTTTAATGACTTGCTTCTTTCAAAGAACAGGTACCAAAACATAACTTGAAGTCTCAGCCCTGGTATCTGTCATTAGCACACTACCCCTTATATATTTTATATATACTGTGTATACACTACACGGTATGGGTGCTGTAGCACTATATACTTTGAAAATTATACTGCTTTCATTACATATATAATATATATACTATAGTACTATATAGTATCTCTGTACTATGTATATTTTTACCGTCTATGTATTTTTTCTGTGTGTGGTGCTAAGGATCCAACCAAGGGCCTCTTGTCTACTGTAAGCACTCAACCACTGAGCTAACCTCCAGCCCTTACCACTCTGTTATTTAAGAGTCCTAACCCAGGGACACTTCAACCAAGAAGGTCCTTAACTTCTTTTGCTTTGGAAATCTATCTTCTCATTGAGCTCAGGGAAGAACTATGAGATTATAACAAGGCTCTATGGGGCTAGGGAGAGAAATCAGTAGGCAAGAGTGCTTACTGTGGAGGCATGAGGACCTGAGTTCAAATCCCAAGCACCCACATAAAAAGCTGGGCATGGCCACATGTGCCTGTAACCCCAGCACTGGGAGGCTGAAACAAGAGCATCTCAGAAGCTTGCTGGCCAGGTAGTTTAAACCAAATGGCAAGGGTCAGGTTGGGTGAGAGATCTTGTTTCAAGGGAATGTGGAGGGGGGGATACCCCAATATCAATCTCTGGTCTCTCTCTCTCTCTCTCTCTCTCTCTCTCTCTCTCTCTCTCTCTCTCTCTCTCTCTCTCTCTCTCTCTCTCTCTTCACACACACAGTTGTGCCCACCCATGGGTACATGCACCCACACTCACATACAACACATACACACACAGTAGCATTCCACACGATAAGCAATGTGCCATTCAGTGAGTAGTGAAGAATACAAAGGAGAGTAAGGTACTGTGCCCTCGAACTTCCAGCTCAACTGGTAATGTAGGAAGTATTAGGGAGGAAGGCTGGAAGAAGATGGTCAGCATCTGTCACCTGCTGTTAATGTTCAAGGCTCATTCCTATATGTGTTTGTTTGCCAAAAGTTCATTTTTTTCATTGTTGCATAGTATTGTATGAACATGTTACAGTTTTCCTTACAGGCCATCCATACCCCAGCTTGTCTTTACAGTTCCAATACCAATATATGTTAGTTTCTGCATCAGTCTGCAGTTTTCAACCCAAGAGTTTTCTGTTGCTCTGTATTCAGTACATGTGTACATATCTTGACATGAATGTATGTTTTCACTCTTGGGTAAAAATGTAAGAGAACATTGGTGGATTCAAGACACTTAAAGCTTATTTGTCATGTTTAATTTCCTAATAATCCCATAAGAAGATACTTTCCCCCTGAATCACAGAAGTCCCCGGTGAGGACAAGCCATTTGCCCAAGATCAGCTAACGTTTCTGATGAGAGTGAAGACAGACACACACACAAGTGCAGGCATGTGACCAGCCACCCAGCTCAGCTAAGCAGCAGTAGGTTGGAATCCCTAGCACCTGACTTTCGTGGGTCTTTTCTGCATGTCCACTGTGGCTCTTTGGAAGCCAGTGCAGAGCACCGCTGAGACCAAAGTTGTATGACTGGAATCATCTGGACACATCTGCACTCCCCCATCAAGTGGGTGATGTTGCCTGCTGGCCAGCAATCCGCACATAGTCTTCTGATGTTATCTTTTAAAAGAGAATAGACATACAGAAATGGGACGGTCAAATGAAGGGAAATACTAGTGTAAATCAGGTTATTTTGGAGTTTTTGTTTGTTTGGGGTGTGTGTATGTGTCTGCACTACAGGGTTCAGAGGACAACTATTGCTTGGTTCTCTCCTTCCACCTTTAAGTGGGTCGAGGGGATGAACTCCAGTACCCACTGGTCCATCTCACCTTCCCTGAGGGAGGGCTTTAATAATATGGAACATACAAGGTTTTCGTAGGATGAAAGGAGTGATCTGGTAGGAAAGGAGGACTGATGGGGTGGGAGAATGGGTACACCGCGCTGAGATGCCATCCTGGAGTTAGGAAGTGGGAAGAGTGCATATGGACAAAGCAGCATTGATGGTCTGGGGCTGCATTGTTCTCAGTGAGGGCGACACTGGGTTGTATCCATGCTATGCACTGAGCACGTACACATGTGGTCTATCAACAGATAGACAGCGTATCCATGGCATTAAATTTTCATGGCAGAAAACCTAAGAAGTGTAAAGGGCATTCCTGTCACCTGCAACAACGATAAAATGACTAATCAGGAAATTCATCTGTCACCTTGTGGTTTAAGTAATCTAGTACAAGGTTCAGACATGGAGCTCTTTTAAATGCCAAAGAGGATGAAGTACTGAGAGAATTAAAGAACATTTCGTCAAGATGAATGCCTGCGTTTACCTGAATTCTACCTACCCTTTGCCAGCTCACTAGCACTGTGCCTGGAGGCTTCCTTGGAAGGGCCTCTGACTGTCTCCTTGCTCACTGAGGTGGAAGCAAAGGAGCTGAAGGCATCATCCATGAAAACAATGTGAAGTGCTGAGCTGTGGCAACTTGAGAAGGCAGAGTGCATGAGACGTTGGGTGCTTAGATACGTTGGGGAGAAATATGGAAGCTTTCTTCTTCTTTTTTTTTTGTTGTTTGTTTGAGACAGGATTTCTCTGTGTAGCCCTGGCTGCCCTTGAACTCACTCTGTAGACCAGGCTGGCCTCAAACTCACAGAGACCCACCTGCCTCTGCTGGGATTAAAGATGTGCACCGCCAATGCCTGGCAGGAGCTCTCTTCTTGAAGCATCTATTGGCTCCTTGAAAGGAACAAGAAGTATAAATATGAGAAGGAGGCAGTTTGAAAGTTTAACAAGAGATGAAGAAATATGAAATTGATTTAGCTAAAAATATGAACTGAAGATTCAGTGGACAGTTGTGGTGGTATTGTGTTCCCCAAAATATTGTGTACCTTAATAAATTTATCTGGGGTCAGAGAACAGACAGCCACTAGATATAAAGGCTAGAAAATGGTGGCACTCACGCCTTTAATCCTAGCATTCCAGAGGTAGAAATCCCTCTGGATCTCTGTGAGTTCAAGGCCACACTGGAAACAGCCAGGCATGGTGACACACGCATTTAATCCC